TCGTTTTTGTGTGATTTTATTTTGGAGCACCAAAATAAAATATCAAAGTGACGTCCATAAATAACAAAAAAATGATTTGTATCCTCTCTAGATGTGATACATAAGACAAACAAGCTGGGTAAAATGTTTATCTCTTCCTGGCTGACGTCAGTCAATATATAAAATAAATAGACTGAATTAATGGAATTCACATTTTCGCCCAAGCTACATTTAGCAAACATAAAAAAGTGCACTGTCTAGTCACAAATAGCTTATGCAACATAAAACAGCGAAGAAATGAATCATAATGGTAAATATACTGTGTGCCAATATATTCATAAACAATTCTTTTTCAGTTTCTCAGTTTTTGATTTCTGATTTTTTTAATGCTTACCACCACTTATAATATTGATTACTTTAATAATAATAATAATAATATTATTATTATTATTATTATTTATTTGTGTAGATATTTCTTCAAATCGAGGCACGGGTCTGTCAAAGCCAGTAAAGGCTTGTGGGACAGCACCCTACAGGTCATAGTCACAATATCCCCACACACAAACAGTATCAAGCTCATCATCTAGTAACTACTCTCGAATGAAATAAAATATGATGAAAAAAACATACACATAGGTTTAATAACTACACTGTGATGCAATAAATGAATATGTAAAAATAAAAACCATACACGCGCACACACACTCACGCATAGTTGTGTTGTTCAATTGAAATCTTGGAGCACTTGTTTGAGTTCTTTTAAAGAGTTCACACCATACATGGTTTCTGGCAAGTCATTGAAGGTTGAAGGCACATAAAAATTGTGAACACGTTTTCCATAGTTCGTGGTCATAAAAGGCACTTTATAGCGTTCGGTCCAACGAAGTGATCTAGACACTGTGTGAGGCTCTTTGTAGTCATTGTTCCAAAAATATTTCAATACAAGAGTCTGAATGAATAAAGCATGGAATAGTGGCAAACCTAAAGTTGTTATTTTTTCTTCTTCAGTTTGTGACGATGAACAGTAGACAATACTCTTAATCATTCCTTTCAAAATTGAATCAATTTTTTGGCACCATATCACAGACCCATGCCCGAAAATCGTTATGCCATACCTTAAAACACTGTACGCTAACGCTTGAGCTATCATCTTTTTGGTTGATATAGGAATTAATGATCTTGTATTATAGAGTAAGCAGGACACCCTTCGCAGTTTTTTACAGATATAAGACATGGAAAAATTCCATGACAAAACACTATCAAACTCAATTCCTACATACTTAACCTGATCTGCATAAGGCACTGGGATGCAGTTGCTGTCTGCACAGTCAGACGTATGCATGTAAAGTGGATGATCAAATGTTATAATTCTTAGGGGATTATGAAAGCAAATAAGTTTAGTTTTTGATATATGTACCTCAAGACGATTTCTTTTAAACCAGTCAAGTAAGCAGCACGTGTCTTTTTGAAGTAGCGTCATTACTATAGCATAATCAAGATGGAGCGAGAGCAACACCGTGTCGTCAGCGTATTGGAATAGTCTACATGTGGAGACAGCGTTGGACATATCGTTGACAAACACGTTGAAAAGAAGAGGTGACAAAATAGATCCCTGGGGGACTCCAGCTTTTAAATTTACTTTGGAGCGTCGTCTATTGTTTATGAAAACTACTTATGTACTGCCACTCAAAAAGTTTTGAAGTAGAGAAAAGAATGGACCGCGGAATCCGATTTTATGCATTTTTTTAAGTAGAATGCTATGGCTGACCGTGTCGAATGCCTTCGCCACATCAATAAAAAGTGCACACACGACTTGACGCCTTTCAAAAGCAAGATGCAGTTCATCAGAAAAACCTTCCAGAAGTGGTTGGGCACCCCGGCCACTAACGAAACCATATTGTATAGACGATAGAATATCAAAAGCTATCTAGGTACGACGTCATAATATTGAGGGTATGTTTTCCAAAATTTGGACTATAAAAGGTAAAATTGAAATTGGATGGTAATTGTTAAGTTTTTTGCGCTCTCCACCTTTGAATAAAGGCTTTACTAAGGCACTGTTCAAATCATCCGGAATTTTCCGATTGGAAATGAAACCATTTAACATATAAAGGAGCACGTGCTTTATAAAATCATAATTTCTCCGTAGGTCTTCTGCATTGATTCCATCTATACCAGGGGACTTGTTTGATGTAAAACTGAAAAGTGCAGTTCTAACGTCAAGCCCCGTCATCTGAGGAAGGAAAGCCGAAGAAGCATTTGAGCCTACAGCCCCTGCTGAAAACAGAGCGTCATCACCGGCTACTCTGGAGAATTTAGCGAAGAACGTATTAAAGTCCTCAACCAGTTGCGTTGTATCGTGTCCGAATGCTTTCTCGAGTGTATGATCAATTGATTTATTAATCCCCTTGCCTCGTAGTTGATTCACCAAACACCAGGTATGTGATATACTTGACCTTGATTTAAAAATTGATCTCGAAAACACTTTCTTTTTGCCGAACGTATCAGCGCGTTTAAACGATTTCGTGTACTGCGGAATTCTGTCTTCAACTGAGAATTTTTTGGAGAACGTCGGCATCGTGCCCAAAGGGCATCTTTGGACATAATTGCAAACAGAATGTCATCAGTTAGCCAGTCGCGTTCGCTCCGACGTCTCCTCACAGTGATGACCTTTTTTGCATTTAATTTTAATTTTGAATTAAATTAAAAAAAATTGGCATTTAAAAATAATATTAATATTATTATTATTATTATTAATACTAATAATAATAATAATCATAATTTGTTGCATTGCTTGTGCCCATAAGCAATACCACCGGTCTTCTGAGTGGTGAAGTAATATCAAACAGAAATCCAGTACTAAAACTGAAAGCAGAAATGCTAGAGAAACAGAAGTAAAAACGATGCAAGACAATGATTGAGTCACGCAGAAAGCAAACATACATTTCCACGTATCATGATGAAAATCATGAAAAAAGGTAAACATATCAGAGTTGTCTTGATGTACATTGTTATATTTTAAATAATTGTTAGGGGGCATAATGGAAATATATGACACATAAAAAGTTTAAAATGGTCCGATCGACCCGAGACGAGGTATGAAACCTATCGACTGCAATAAATCAACTGATTTCTCCTTACCGTAATCAAATTTGTTAAAAGAAAAAAAATAATCTGAAGTTCCCCCTTAAAACTAACTTAGACAATAAAAATCGGCGTAGTAAACTTTCATAATGGTAGAAGCCTCTTTTTTTGATGAAACTGTCATACACTGTTCTAATCGTTCGCATTTGTGCATTTTTAGTGCAGTGATATGTGATACTGTTAGAGAATTCCAAATGATGAAGACTAATTACACCCGCGATCGAACTGAAGATTTATACAGGTCGCAGTAGCACAAGGTGTTGAATATTAGTGACACCCGTCCGATTTCGCCCAGAGTTCCAAATGCTTCATTTACAGCCGAAAAACATGGTTATTAATTTAAAGGGAGTTGTTAATACAAACACCGAGCTCCCTGATAAAGCAACTACAATGATACGTAACACTGATAATCTAGGTGTAAGATTTGAAAAACAACTGATTCGTATTGTACTCAGAACTCGGCTCCCATATTATTTAATTTGTTATCTGGGATACAAAACTACACAGGGTAATGGTTTTAAAACTTCATAGTGTACTGTGTCCCTAATCGCAGGGTAACAAGTAAGCGCACATATTTCAGTGCGGAAATTATTGTCGAAGTAACGAAATTACTGTGTCAAATTAACTCGGATTTGGAACTAAGTAGTGTTGTGCAGTAATAATTATAAATATAATTTAAATAGATTTGGGCCAAAATAGTGGTAATTGTAATTCGATTACAATTTAAAATAATTTACCCATCTATAATGTGGTCCTACTTTACCACAATTTGTCACTTGTCCTAATGAGGCGGAAGATGTTTATGAAGGGTGACTAAACATTCCTAATTCATATAACAATTCGCAATACATATTTAATTTTGCAGAAAAACTCACCGCACCATAGTCACATCGTTCAGCGCTTTCCGGCTTGAGTGTAAAAATATGTCCCGGTGAAACACATGTAACTCTGCAATTACGTAAGTCTGGGCGCTACAGAAAAAGAAGACCACTGTTGTTTTCTAAGGCCACCGAACAGGAAAAAATTCATGCAATGTTTATTAATTGTGGTTGCCCGAACTACTTACAATAATCCTCGTTTCATCATGTTCAAAACAAAGATCGTCTAGTTTTTCAAAAAGTATCTCTTTATTCTGTACGAAATCTGGAAGACTATTCGCGCCTACAGCGCCATTTACCACGTCCGCTGAAGCGACAACAGTGAGGTAAGAGTAATTAGAATAACTTGTCGCAGCTTGCAAAAAGAGTTCAGGACATGCAGTAGTTACCAAGTATTCACGAGAAAGCAGCCGATCAGAGGGTTGTGAGCATGACCAGTAGAACTGAGTGTCATGCCGAGCTTGTGTCCGAACCAAACACGTAGTCATCGAGAGCTTAAGAAACACAGGGGGTGGCTGGTACCAGTAATCTAATTATCGCTACGCAGGTAGTGAGAGTGTGGCATTAGCCGATAACAATGCTTAAGAACGGTCCGTGAAACAGAAGGCATAAATAAGTCACGGTTTGCGTTTCTTAAGCGTTCAGTGGCTACCTATATATATATTTATTTATATCGAAAGTATAAACTGTTTCACTGAGCCAGCCGACGTTATCAAGTTTGAAGCCGCGCCGGACGACACCTTAAATCCTTTCCCCAAGTGAAGCCAGCTCCCAGCTATGAAACCACGCGAAAAGTCTAGCCAAACGGCATCTAGCCCTGTACTGCCTAGCGTATCAGATATCATATATGCTACGCAAGATCGCAAAGTGAAAAGCAGTTTCGGTTTCGGTTTTGCGGTGCAAAACCGCCATCTACCAGTTGTAGAGGAAGTCAGAAAGGTTTTCACTTCTTGTTGGTACACGTTTTGCCCGGCAGGGGGTTGACCGGCGCAATTGAAAATGGCAGAGCCAAGCACAAGTGGTATAGCGATCAAGACGCGTGCATTTTACGGTTGGTCTTCTTCTAAAACTGAAGGTGAGTTCATTGTTTATTTGTGCTAGTTGTAAGCGCCATTGTTGGTGAAACAGCTAGACAGCTTTGATTCAAATTCTGCTTACGTCTGACCGCTCATAAGCAAGCGAATTTCTAGCGTATCATATTCTGCAGTGGGCATTCCTGGTAGTTCGCGACATCTGTATCAGATATGCTACGTATCACATTTCCACGTAAATACATGCTATTTGAGTGCATTTTTTGCAGCCCACAAGCCCCGGAATATTGTCAGCTATATGCCCACGGGGTACGACAGTGACCTCGGTGACTACAGCGAGCAAGGCCAGAATGAGTACATTCCGAAGAGCGCAAGCAATCGTCTTGAGTGCGCTTCGAACAGCACCGACGATTCATCCGAGGACGAAAGCGATGATGCCAGTCAGTCTCCAGGTTGTACCTGCTCTGTCGACAGGGGCCACTGGAGAAAGCGGCTTCTGTACTTGTCCCTTGCTACGTTCAGGGATGAATGTACACCGCCGCTCGCCATTGCGTCCCCGCTTTCGTATTTTCGGAAGTTCGTAAGCGCGGCTATGGTCTCATCTCTGGCTGCTGAGACGAACCTCTACAGTGTGAAAACTACGGGAACTTCACTAAACGCGGCGGAGAGTGAAGAAGAACAGTATATTGGCATGTACCTGTTAATGGGCCTCGTACGAATGCCGAGCCTGCGCTAATACTGGGAAAATGGCACTAGGTTTTCAGCGATTGCTAGTGTGATCATAGGCGTAGAAAACGGGGGGGGGGGGGGGGGGGCATCGAGGCTCGTGCTTCTTTGCTGACATTCGGGGGGGGGGGGGGGTGCAGAGCTCCCCCCCCCCCGGGCCATGATCCTTACCGAGACGCTGTTTACGTGCCTTGTAACGAGCTTCTAGTAGCGGCATGGAAACAAAATAACGCGCACAGCGATGGAGCTATGGCGATATACTTAGGCTGTAAAATATATCCCCTAAAATAAACTACTGATAATTGTCGGTTTTAGAAATAAATTTCCCGGAAAAGCTCCCCCCTCCCCCTTCCCTCTTCGCCCCCCCTCCGGAGAACTTCTCAGCCTGAATGGAAAGTCTACGCCGCTGGATGTGATGCCGAGCAATCGCTTCGAAGAGATTATGAGGCTCCTGCGGTTTACAAACAATAGTCAAGATGCGGACCGAACAAATGGTGACAAGTCATCGAAGATATGCAGCTGGCTAGGTGCACCTCAAGAAAACTTGCTATCGATTGAGCCTGAAGAGCACAACAGTGTTGATGAAATAATGGTTTTCTTTACAGGGAGGTGCCCAATGAAACAGTATATGCCAGGAAAACCAAACCCATGGGGTATCAAATTGTGGGGGCGGGTAGGGTCTTCAGGCTTCCTTCACCAATTTGATGTTTATCAAGGCCAAATCAAAAGACAAAATTTTGGGCTGGGTGGTGACGTGGCAATAAAAAGGTGTGAACATCTTCCGCACGAGAAAGGCTATAAAGTAGCCGCCGACACATTCTTCGCTTCTATAGCTTTGGCGGCGGAATTTTACAAGAAGGGTCTTGGAATTGTGGGAACGCTGGGAAATAACAGGCTTAAAGACTGCCGCCTCAAGACCGAAAGTGATCTGAAGAGATTGGGTCGTGGCGCCTTTGACTATGCTGTGGACAACACGAGAAGTGTTGCGGTAATAAAGCGGTTCGACAACAGAGCAGTAACACTGGTTTCCAACTATGCATCCACGGAGCCTGTCTGCACAGTTCGAGGATGGGACAAAAAGGAAACAATGTTTACTCAAGTAGAACAACCAGGAGTTGTCGCAACCTACTACTCCTTCATGGGAGGAGTAGACCTGCTGAACTACCTGTCAGAACTTTATAAATTTCCTATAATATCCCGAACATGGTATATCTACTTGTTTTACCACACACTCATGGTCGCTACTGTCAACGCATGCCTTTTGTACACACGGAACTGCGCCCAACTGGATGAGAGACACGTCAACCTGAGGCGATTCCAAGCTGACGTCGCGTAGTGCCTGATTGCAGTAGCAAAAAGACCTGTTGGGAGGCCACCATCATCCATTATCCCAGCTGCTAAATAGCGCAAGCTCTCTGCCAGCAAGCCTCAAGATGATGTGCGGTGCGATGGAGACTGCCACAGGCCAATGTGGGGTGCCAGAAGGCTCCGATGCAAATTGTGCCCACCAGGACTGAACAATTATTTATATACACACTGCTATAAGTGCAATGTTCACCTTCGTTACAACAAAGATCGAAATTGTTTTATCGCATACCACAACTGAAATTTTTGGGAGTAATGCCCTGTGTATCGCATATGATAAGATCTGTATTATATGCGAATAGTGTTTGAAAAAATAAAACTTTGTTTTGTTCAACTTCTGGAAGTGTCTTAAGCATGAAACCATCTTCCAGTAACTTTTTGCATGCTTCCCCTTTTTGCATGCTTTTCCCCAATCCCGAAGGAGCGGAGTAGAGCTGATGGATTTCGGCTTCAGTCCCATTGGCTGGCGCGCTTCGACGAGGCTCCACAGCAAAGCCTGAGCGTTACATCACATGACGTCACGTCCGGGAGGCCGACATAGACGGTGATTGGATGTGAGGGCCGCGTCATTGTTCGCGTGGGGCTCGTTTCCTATAATAGCCCCACGCGAACGCTGACACGGCACTTGCATCCAATCAGCGCCCGTACGGGCCTCCAGGACGTAACGTCATGTGACGCAACGCGCAATCGTAACGCGCATATACTCAAATTCACTTTCTTAGAATATGTATGTTTCAATATCGACATTTTAATGTCTGCAGATTAAATATATCATTACATATTTGTTACAGGGACACTGACAGGGTATTTATGCTCGTCAAGATTTTTATCTTCACATGATATATAAGAGCCAGCTAGCCAGAACACGATTTGCCGCTCGAAATTCATTTTCTTACCGCCCGAAAACCGCCTATCAAGAATCGGCCGGTTTGAGTCGCGCTCACTCTTTTCTCCGTGGCCACGTTTCATGTTCTATGGCTTAGACATAACCGCAAAAGATAATCAAAGTCGTTATTCATCGAAGGTATACACTCAATATTAGAAAGTGAAACAAAATATGATACTCCTTTTGTCACTTCTGAAAACTTCAAATACGTTGATAGAAAAACAAAAAGGTTGCACGTCCACGTGACTTTTGGCAACACTCTCCTCCTCTATACTTCTTCTTCCTCCCTAGTCCGGTTTCGGTTTCGAGCAGTTGCGTTTTTGGCTATTAAAAATAGACGTGCCGCTGTAGCAAAATATTCATTGGGTGGGCTTCTGACACGGTAATATATCCCTAAAACATAATAAAGAAAAAATGGAAGGGAGGGGGGTCAGTGTTCCTTTAAGCACCTTCTAAAATAATGTATGTAAAATTTTGCAATCCCTGACATCTGCTGCGGTTGACAGACATGCCCCAAAAAGATTCCTTTTTTTTTTTGTTTAACCACCTTATTGACAAGAGTTACCAACAGATTTCGCAGAAACACTCGGTGTAGTAATTTTTGTTTGCATGAAGATTTGCAAGGCGGAGAGGTAGTAGGGCTTAAAATGGCATCTGTTGCCTCGACTCTCTAAGTTAGCCCGTACACTACGACTGATCGTAACTGTGAGTACACACGACCGACGACCGCCTAAGTAGAGTACTAAGTAACTGTTCCACAGGGCAGGGCACGCACTATGTAACGAATTTGGTTATGTAAAATATTTTGAATGCAGTGTAGCTCTTTAACTATTGATACACTGCAAAAAGCATTCTTAAAACTTAAATAAAAAAAGATAATTCAACAGCAGCACTTCCATTTCCACATGAAAGCAAATTGAGTGTTTCGGGTTGTAGTTTCAATGCGGGCGTACTTTGTAAACGTTTAAGAAAATGTTTACACTGACTTCCTGATTAAAACGCATAAGAAATGCGAGAATCAATAAAGAAAGCAAACAAGGCCTACTTCAGCACTAATAAATGTGCATAAAATGCAAGACAATATTTGTAAAATATTTACCACACTGATTTGCCAACAGAATGACCAAAAAAACCTAAATGAGACGAGCCATATTTTTTAAAGGTAAGAGTGAGCCTTGTATTCACGGGATACTTCCTATAAACAAAAGATAGCACAATCTGCATTAGTATATTTACTATTTTAGGGTAAGCGAAAGCGTTCGAGTCGCCCGGTTAGGAATTTAAATTCCGGAGCTCTTAAAAAAGATCAAGAGAACGAAAGAAATTGAGGCTGGGAACAAAATAAGAGTAACGACTGCTCCAGAACAAATCGGACGTGAAGATACTTTTTACAGGAATATAACAAAAATAACCTTTTTACCTTCATTTCCGTAATCCTTCACCCTTTCCCCAAGAAACTTCCGCCAAAGCAGGCGACTTTCATACTCACTCCCTCACTTTGTTAGGAGAGTGGGAAAGAAAACTGGAAGCGTTTGAACACAAAACGGCCCATGCCCAACGGATTGAAACTTTATAAAATTGTCCATAAAAAAATCAAGGCAAGTTCATCCCACACTTTATATGGAAGTGAGGATCCAAGTTACATTTTGTTGCGTCTGATGAGCGAGGCTTTGGTTTGTACTTTCAGCCCTTCCAACCAGTTTTGTCAATTTCTGAGGAAAGGCATCCGCATGACAAACCCTAATCTTTCATCAATAAAACTGTGTTTTTAGGCGGTCAGTGTGCTTACATTACAATGTTCACAAATTGTATTTTCAATTCAAATCGCCGTAGCTACCGCAGTCACATTTTTTTTCAGTCTCCTCAATACTTTGCGAATTATTCATGAGCTGCGCTAAGTAGCTCTTACAAGATTTGGTTTTCGAAGGAAGATAAGATGACCTTGCATTTTTAAACGCACACGTCTGTGTAAAATAAAGCCAATCTAAGATGCACATAATGCATCTTAATACAACACAGGAAGGGGGAAAACATTAACGTTCCGCGGAGAGGAGCACTTGTTTCGCTATGGTTCTTGAGATGAACACCTATGTAGTGTGGGAATACTTTCATTGTGTGTTGAAACCCGATAACCTTATTGTTGTATATATATATAGATGTATAGAACGCAATTTTGGGAGTGAAACACAATTTTTTCGGATAGAACATAATTTTGGGGGATTACGTAAAATGTAAAACATTAGACGCAAAATCGAGATGAAAAATATTACGATTGAATAAAAAAATGAAAGCCGTTTACAACTCCCAGTAACGCCGAATTAGAGCGCAGCTCGTGAGGAGGAGGAGGCAAGGGTGCTGAGGGTCACGTGTTCTCGGGGGGGGGGGGGGGAGGGTCACGTAACCTCGGGGGGGGGGGGTCACGTGACCTCGGGGGGTTACGTGACCTCGGGAGGGGAGTCACGTGACCTCGGGGGTGGTCACGTGACCTCGGGGGGTCACGCGATCTCGGGGGGAGGGGGGGGGGGCGTCGCGTGACTCTCTCCCCGAGGTCATACCGAAGGAACCCGAGGTCCTCCGAGGTTCTCCCGAAGGAACCCGAGGTCTTCCCGAAGGAACCCGAGGTCCTGCCGAAGGAACCCAAGGTCTTTCGGGAGGACCTCGGGTTCCTTCGGGAAAATGTACCCATAATGCAGCGCGCGGTTACGCCGACGGCGACGGCGACGGCGACGCCGACGCCGCTCAAGCCGGAAACGGGCGCCTAAGTGCTGCGCTCTAAAATATAATCAAATGTTCCCGCTACAGCAGGGCTCCCTCACGGGTGGCAGCACACTCTCATTGGCTGGCCTACACCCCGTTCACCAATAAGCTCAGGCTAGGGTGGAAGCTACGTGTCTGTCGGACCAATCAGCCACCTCCCTTTAGTCACATGCCCCGGCTCTCTCTCCGCGTGGGTATGGGCGGCAGCGTGTTGACGTGGCGAAAGAGGGGCGCATGACTGGTCCAACAAGAACCAGTCATGCGACCCGGAATATATAATTGCTCGACGGCTTGAGGCTAGCGAGCAATTATTTGAGAGCTACGCTCTAATAATGCCAGTACCTTGTTTTTGAGTAACCGATGCGCACCAGCGCGAAAAAAAAATCAAAAGTGAACTAATATAATTTCCTTGAAAAGAGTGCCGCCATTAGCTTCGCCGCGCTTATATGATCGCAGCTAAGCAGACGGTGCTCGACTACTTCGATATGCTACCGAAAGATGGCGCAACGTGAGAAACGAGAGGCTGATGCAACTCGACCGACTATCTCCCCTATTGGCTATTGAAGCACGTAGAAAACAAGGTAACACAAAACGCTTCGAAAGCAAACTTAAATATTAAAGCAAGCAAGTCAAAGCATCAGAAAATATTACATAACAGAAACTAGCGTCGCGTTCAGGAAAGCGTAATAAACACTTTCGTTACACTGTTTGCTAGGGTCAAGACCCGACTCGTCATCCCCGTAGGGCAGCTTGGTGCGTATCTTCAGCGCATGGGGAAAATAAGTGCCCATTGACGAGGCTTTTCGTTCACGAAAAGTTGAACGACTTTTATCTCCTAAGTCGTTTACATGTTTATGGGCCAGGCGACTTGAATAGGTAGTAGTGAAGATGCGCCCATGATGCCTGGGGAGGTTCGTTATTTCTTTAAGGAGTAATTGGTAATAATTTTCGTCAAGGGGATCAGGAAGCCGTGTAAATCCAGTGTAAGCAAAATTCTGAACGTGTCAAAGTGTTTCCTTGGCATTAAAACTTTAAAAGTACGCGCTACTCGTTGCGGGTTCTCAAAAATAGGCAGAAACCATGACCAACCGGAAGCAAGATACTCTTCCGGAACTTTGTCTATGTTTGTTTTTGTTTGCCGCTGAACACTTTGTATATCAAAACTAACTACCACATTAATATGTATATATATATATATATATAAAAATGTTAGCTCTTGGCGGATGTGCTGGGGTCATGGATGTGGGAGGCTTCCGTAGGCGACAGAACGCCGCCAGCGGTTAAGCCGTGGGCGACATTTAGCTTGGAGGGACACTCCTTCAACGGGGACCAAAACCAAAAGGTGCTATTGGACGAATTAGGCGATCGAAGTGAGCTGATTTGGCGCCTAAAGCTGATTCGGTTGTGTTTTGGTAAGCCTTGGGGGCGTTCCGCCGACCGCAACCTTTAATTTCGGCTTCACTTGATTTTTCTCTCTAGGCTGACTTGAGCCGGTATGTCGCCTCCCCTCATTCCCACGTCCATGGCTGGGATCCTCAAGGAAAGTGTGACGGAACGCCACGGAAACAGTTACGAAGTGTTTAAGATGCCACTCAAAGCAAAAACTGTACAAAAAAGTGGTAAATTGAAAGATATATCAAAATTTTAAAAGTGCTTTAACGGGAATCGCACCACAACCTTATGATTGTGAGCTCGACATTCTGCTACCTTGCCATGTACATATCGTAACCTTCAATGTCGCACCCGTTTGCGGGTAGACGCTAAGTTAACTTGGCTTGTCTTTACTGCGGTGATCTTTACTAACTGTACAAATACTAACGCTGGTGGCAGGCGTTACGGCGTTCGGCATTTGCGTTCGAACGGTTTGGTGAGAAGAACCAAGAAACACAGTACGTGCCCACCATTATACATAAAGATAACAGAGCTTAAAATAAAATCGCATAGTACCAAAACAAAACAAAAAAATATAACCTGCAATGATTTTTGTAAACCCAATGAATGGCTCGGTAACACGTTCTGTATATACCGACGTTCTCTGTATAAATAAAGATAAATGAAGCATTTTCATATCCAGTTTACTTTAAAAATTTGAACGAAATAGTGTGTACCGTGACTCAACAATAAAATATTATTTTCGAAGCTCTGGGGTCTGCAGGTGCCAGATGTTTAAGACTCTGATTATGAGTTTTAAGGTTTTTGAGAAGATTTATATTGTGGTGACGGAAACAAGGTCACAAAAACTGCATGCTCGAAAGGTTCGTTGCACTTTTTATTGTGCACATTCATCGGGAATTTTGATTAAGTAAAGAGCATGCTTCTCCTGTGGGCGGAGGTCGGCCACTCACAACCGTCATAGATCAATGTCTTTCTTTTTTTTTTCATTGTTAGATGCCCTGAGAGCCGAAGTTTATCAAAATTCCTGCTTAACAATTGGCAAATTGTATGTTCGACACTAAGTGAACCATAAGAATAAAGTAAGCGAGGTTTACGCACTAGGCCTATTCCTGGAACCTAAAAGATTGTTCGATAGAAGCGGCATGGCTTTGATAAAATTACATCAATCGTCCTGATTTAGGTAATCTTACTTTGCAATTAGGTGAATATACTTGTCTCCTCCACTTTGGAGTTGTGCTCTTTCACTTGCAAGAAGCTTCGTAGCAAATATGACACGTATGCTTCGTTTCATATAAGCACTACTGTTGATAACTTTAGTCTTATCAGCGATGCTTGCGTGTGGCCCGAGGGGTGCTTGTTTGGGACTTTTTGAGGTCTGCTCGTAGATTCTGAATCTTCCGAGACTTGAGATAACGCGCCATAACACAATGAATAGCACACAAATTCATTATCGGAATGTGCGCGGTTTGCGGACGAAGTCGGATATCTTTTTTACATCGGTTTTGGCCTCAAATTTTGACATTTTATGTATCACTGAAACTTGGCTAACCACTTCTGTATTTTTTTCAATTCAATTCAATTTTTATTTTCAGATCATTTCATACAAGATAAAGAGCTGGCCCACAAAAGCAGCATTCTGCTTGTATGTGGGGCCAGGCGACCAACTAGAATACATGTTGTTACAAAAAATAAACAAAAAGGAAGCACACCGCAGCACAACAACAACAAAAAATGAAAGGAACATCAAATTAGCAACAGAAATAAATACAAAAAATGGAACACTTGAGAGCATGAAATATAGGTGCTTATTGCCAAGTCTACTCACGCAACCATGAAATAAAAGTACGAAATATCTCCAACGGTCAGGCTACGATATCTGCAGCTCAGATGCTTGACACCAATTCCTTAGTTTCCGTTTTAGTACCCTAGTGGAATTTATATTCATAAGGGACTCTGGGAGTTCGTTAAATAAAGAAGGAATGTAATGATTTAGTTCTGAGTAATAAAGTTCCGATTACCAGGTTTTTAGATGTGACCGGAATTCGGCAGGTTCCTCCTCGACACTCGGGGGAGGCGTACTTACGGCTGTACGGAAATCATATCGTACCTTCGGCGGTTTGACCTTGAGATAAATTAATGCGTTTGGACTGAAGTTCGAGTCAAGAACAGACCAAATCCGCTTATCGAAAACTATTACTTTTTTGCTTATAATGCAATTAAATGCAAAGGTGCAAGCGAGCTGAACAAGAATGACGAAAATAATCCCTGGAGAAGGTGAACAAGAGGGACGAAGAACAAACACAAATCTCCAAACACAGCTAGGTGACCGGTGCGCGACCGAAAAAATCTGCCTGGTACGGGTATCGAACCCGGGACCTCTCTCCATTCCCAGTGGAGCGTTCTACCAACTGAGCTGACCAGGCGTTAGACGTCACTAGAGAAAACAGGTTTTCTCGGTTGCACCAGTCTAACAGCCAAGTAGGCTGTTAAAGAAAACATATGTTTTTCTTCGCGTTTACCCTTTAAGAGAACTTTGTAAATTGTTTCCAAACGCAAGTGTCAAAGACAGTCTTTTTTTAGCTGTTTAAAATTTATGTAAAGATAAGAAAAATATTGTAGATATGTACTTGTACAGTTCAATTTCTCAATAACTTGTCGACGCGATTAAAGTAAAAAAATTCAAAACCAGCAGGGGGCACCTTCTTTTCTGGGTGTTTTGTGAGTGTCGTCACTACGGACCCCGAGCATTGTGAGTTCACCTATGGTCACTGAATGTTCCCAGAGTACGCCGTTGCATTCAGTCCGCTTACAGGAAGTCTATTCTGCAGAATCCAGATATAATTGGCTGGTTTAGCCCATGGCGGAAGTTATCAGTCGGCCATTATGAGGATTTGCCCAAAATAACAAAAAGCGTATATAAACATTTCGTGTTACCACGGGTATCGCGGGTAAGCACGAGTGTGAGCTCTGAGCATCGACGAGTTAGAACCGAAGGGAAAGTGCTTTGATTTCCTCCAGTTTTTCTGCATTATATCATGTAGCCGTTAATCTGGCTTGCCAAAGAAGATTGCCGGATCGTTTGCTCGCTGCGGTTGCGCTGGTGCTGTGCTTCAAATTCTACGCTTCAGGCGCTAAGCCTAAGATTTGACTTCGATGTGTTTCAAGGGGAGATATAGAGAGAGACAAAGAGAGAGACGAGACGAGACAGCGAGGAGCAACACGCACGAGACTTGAAGGAAATAACTTAAGAAAAGAAAGAAAATCCGGTCTCGCTACAGTCGAGGAAACTCGATTGAAGAGATCGCACGAGAACGAAAGCTACACTGTACCCTTCGACCGCACTTGGCAACGCCATATTGGCGATGGGTTGGAACGCCACGGCGGCACCGAGACTCGGTCCTGAAACAAATTAAAATGTTAAAAGGCGCGAACTAAAAGAAGACGGCAAAAGACACACGTACGACAAAAACAAGCCAGAACTGAAGCTTGGGAGTTTCGGTAGTCCGGGAACATTCAGCGACTGTAGGTGCACCCACCCTTGTCTGGCTCTGTGTTGCCTACCCACGTCCGGGAAAAAGGAGATCCTGATCGTTGTGCTGGGCTCAAGAAAAGTTCGAACCCTTCGCCCCCCCCCCCCCCCCCCCGGCAAGGCAATACACTACCTGGACGTCCGCTTCTTGAGGACTGGTGTCCTGGTAAGGCCCGACCACGATGATCCAGTCAGTCGCCTTTCTTCTGATATCCCCCCTCTTCTTTCACTTTCCTCCTCTTCGCTTCTTTTATTTTTTACCTTCCTTTGGAGCAAGGACCAAACTTGGGTGGGTATGAATTTCCTTATTTAGAACCACACTTGTGCATGGTGTTTGGACAAGCGCTGGTGGAGTGGCACTCTTAGCAAAGGCTTTTTTGTTATCAGGTGTTATCTCTTCCTTTGAGGGGCAAAATAGTGGATGGCGCACTAGAGCCACTGAAGTCCCAAGCAAGCCAAAATACCTAATCCGCCTCTGAAAAGGGGTCACACCGAAGCAATTATACTATCTTCATTATCCTCAGCTCATAAAGGTGTCACTCGTTTTCTAGGGATGCACTCTGAACACGATGCTAAACCTCTAGGAAATTTCACAGGTTTTAGTCACCAAGTCTTTTGAAATCCTTAACTATAATCTGGTGACTTGGCGGCAGAAAATGGCGTCCAAAGCGATGTCCTCCTAGAGTTCAACAAGATCTCAAACTATATTGTTATATACATGTTTAACTAAATTTTGTTATGGCTCATCTTAGCTTCCTGCATTGGAACTGTCAGGGTCTCCTCAAAACATTGGCGATGTTTACTTTCTTGTTAGCGAGATACGCCTGAATAGCTCTAGCATAATGGAAGACTCATTTCACCTCGAATCATACGGAAGTTTTGAGAAACTATCTTATTTTCTGCAAGGGCCGCGCATCTTCACATTCATCTGGCGGTGTTGTAATTGTAGTGCAGGTTGGAGTAGGGTGTACCGGGGTCCCCCTTGACTCTCCTTTCAAGGCTGTGGCTACACAAAACTTCTTACTGACCGTCTCTTTATGGTTGTTTTTTTGTATCTCCCAGCACACATTCCCAAACACGAGCATGAGATACAGAACATTTTAACTCAACTTTCACAGCCGTTTGTAATTTTAGGTAAATCTAATGCTGATTACATCATGTGGGACAATGCAAGACTTGATTCCCGTAGAGGGGTTATTGAGCGATGGCTATTGTTTTCAAATTTTTCTTTAAACAACAAATCCCCAACATTTCTTAGTGCTGCACACAGCTCTTTCACCTGCATTATTTTTCTATTTCATCACCATAATGGCTTCTTTGTTTTTATTAGAAGGTTTCAGATAATCCATTTGAGAGTAACAACTTCCCGTATACTTTAGAGAGCTTTGTTGACCTACCCTGAGTTCAGAAACGTATGCCAACTTGGAAACTAGACAAAGCGGTCTGGGAAAGTTTTAGCCAAGTTGCTACATTCAGGGCTTCACTATCTGCCACGACGTGTGGTATTAAACAGATAATTAATGCCGCCGAGTAGTCTATCCCCCATACCTCCGGTAATTTACCGAAGAAACGCAAGCCGTGGTGGAACGAAGACTGTTCAACCACCGCTACGAAACAAAATCGAGCCTGGAAAGTTTTCCCGTGGCAGACAACTGTGAAGACCAAGATTAACTTCAAAAGGCGCAATGCGCAAGCCCGCTAGAGAAGAAAGCTGGCAAAGACTACATCTTGGATTTCATATCTCTCCTCTGTAAGTACTTTTTTTTGTACGCTTGAAGATGCTTGAAATCGCATACGCAAACATCAAAGGTGACTACCGATGTTTTACCATTCCAGTATAAAACTTGACTTGGGGTCCGTCAAAGCTGTTGCAGACGTTCTCGTTCAGCGTTTCCACGGTGAATTCAGCTCTAATAATTATAGTGCATATTTCTAACGATTTAAATTTCGCACAGGAAGTCGCTCTATTTCAATGCGGGGGACTAACTCGGTTCCATATAATGCGCCTTTTGCAATCTGTGGGCTAAAGCAAGCTTATGATTGAATTTCTGAGTAAAACCCCGAGCGTGGGACAAAATAGTACGGAAAAACACAAGGTCTCCAACACAGCTGAAATTTATTTCACAACAAAAGGGCTTATATAGGCATCAAATCCTGCACAAAACACTAGAGAGGAGAGAGAGCGAGAGAAGGAACTGTTTTGTAGCGAAATGCAAGTAGCGAAAGTAACTGTTCTGTACGAAAAAAGGTGATAAGAATGAATTGGGGAACTACACGCCCATTTCTATACTGCCCGTTTTTTCTAAAGCGTTAGAAAAAATAATTTATCGTCGTTTGGTAGACTTTTTAAATACACATGACCTTGTTACTTCCTCGCAGTTTGGTTTTAGAAATAATTGCTCAACTGAAACAGCCTTACTTAGTCAAAAAGAATTTATATTAAAAAACTTTGAAAAGAAAAACTTGGTTCTCGGGGTGTTTTTAGACTTTACCAAGGCGTTCGATTGTATTAATCATAAGGTCCTATTTAAAAAGCTTGAAGTTTACGGTATCCGTGGGCAGGCGCTATTACTTCTGCAATCTTATCTAGAGCATCGACAGCAATATGTATCCATCAATGGTAATTCCTCCACTATTAAGCCTATTACGTCAAGCGTTCCACAGGGTAGTGTACTAGGGCCATTCCTTTTCAACATGTACGTAAATGATATAATTAACGTCAATAAGGAGGCAACATTCTTAATGTATGCTGATGATGCAAGCATATTTTTTCCTCCGAAACCGCTGATGAGCTAATCGATATGGCTAACTTAAGTTTGTCTAGAATTAAATCTTGGGGTGATAGTAACTCATTGACAGTAAACAGTAGTAAAACAAAAGCTATTATTTTTCGTCCAAAAAATAAACCTGTGGTGGTGTCTAAGCTTCTCAGTTTTAATTCGTCTCGAATTGAAATAGTCAGTTGTTTTAAAACTCTCGGAGTATTTTTTAGTGAAAATATGTCCTGGGATAGCCATGTCAACTATATTATTCCAAAACTGGCTCGCGTGGTAGGGATTGTGAATCGCTACCGTTACATATTGCCAACAAATGTGAAACTCTTGATCTATAACTCTTTATTTTACTCCCACTTAGCCTACTGCTACCTCGTTTGGGGTACATCAACGTTAACTAATATTGAAAAACTATTCATACTACAAAAGAAAATACTCAGAGGTGTAGGTAATGTACCTTTTGATTTTCACACTGCTGAATTATTTAAAAAGCTATAGGATAATTGATGTTCACAAGTTGTATTCATATCGACTTTGTACCAGTTTTAAGAGTGAAATAATAAAGGGCACATGTTTCTTACAGAATCTTGCATTGTTGGAGGAAAATTCACCCGTGTATTCTACTCGTCACGCGGAGAAGTGGAAGATGGTTACTCAGCGAACCAACTATGGCTCTCAGATGCTCCAATTTACTCTTCCAAATTTGTTAAATACTTTGTGCAGTAGTAATGTTTCCCTTGAACACTTGACTTTCAAAGACTTGCGTGGATATTTTTGTACATGATGCATTATTTTCATAAAACGTTGTTTGTTCAAGTTGTTTTCTTTTTCTGTTAACAATACCTTCAGCTGCTACTGAATGTGATTTTCATCTTTGTTTCTCGATGCTTGCCGTTGACCACTGTAAGGGGATCAAGGACCAGTCAAGCTGCATATCACAGCTTTTTTCCTTGCGCTTCCCCATCAAGATTGATGGAAATAAAGATATTATTATTATTATTCAAGAGAACTGGGGAATCTTGTGCCAAATGCAGTACAGCAAAGCAACCTTTACAATAGAATTGAGAATCGGTGACCCCTTTTATACGACACACAAAAAAGACAAACATTTTTCAACACG